CGGGCAGCGAGTCGCGGCCAAGGAAACGGCGCAAACCACTGGGCCCGCGGCGCCCGTGGCTTCCCCTCGAGGACGACCGCGTCCGGCGACTCGTCGAGGCCCGCGGACCGAAAGAATGGCCGAAGCTCGCCGTCGCGTTCAACGAGACGCTGGACGAGAAGGACCAGCGCACATCCAAGCATATCCGCGATCGCTGGACCAACCACCTCGACCCGAACGTCAACCGGGACCCCTTCACCGTCGCCGAGATCGAGATCATCCGCGGCGCGCAGCGCCGAATGCCCAACGAGTGGACCAAGATCGCGGCGCTGCTCCCCGGGCGCACGGACACCCAGGTCACCAACTTCTGGACCAACACGATCAAAAAGCTGGCCCGACGCGCGCTTAAGTAGTATCGCGCCCCGCACCGCCGCCTGAACACGCCTGCCAGGGAGCAGGCCCCAGCGCTCACAGGTTTGCCACAAGCTCAAGGAGAGGGAAACCAAGCTGCTTGAAGTTTGCACTTTCTTTTCCTTAGTCCGCGAGGCCGTACTTCGCGAGCTCGTCCTTGAGCTGGGCGACGGAGACGGGCTTCGTGACGACGCAGTTCGCGCCGGCCGCGACGAAGGCGGCGATGTCCTCCGCGAGCGCGTTGCCCGTGACGCCGACGATGAGCGCGTCGCAGCCGGCCGCGCGGATCGCGCGCGTCGCGTCGAGGCCGTTCATGACGGGCATGACGCTGTCCATGAGGATGAGGTCGAAGCCGTCGTCGGCGGCGTCCTGGGGCGCCGCGCCGCCGCCGGTCCGCGCGCGCTTCCGCGAGTGCGCGGCGACGGCCTCCGCGCCGTCCTCGGCGAGCTCGACCTCGAACCCCAACTTCCGCACGTGGAAGGCGATGAGCTTGCGATTGCTCGACACGTCGTCGACGACGAGCGCGCGGCGGCCGCGGCGCCGCTTCCGCGGCGCCGGGAGCGCCGCCGGGACCGCGTGCGCCGCGGCGCCCGCGAGGTCCCCCGCGCTCGGCGGCCGGCTCAGGTCCGTCGCCGAGGGCGTCCGCGAGGGCGCCGCGTCGACGACGGGCAGCGGGATCACGAAGTAGAACTCGGAGCCCCGGCCGACGTCGGAAACGACGCCGATGGTGCCGCCGTGGAGCTGCACGATCTCCCGCGAGATCGCCAGCCCCAGGCCCGACCCGCGGCCCTGCTGGAGCTCCCCCGCGCGGATCTGCGAGAAGGCCTGGAAGAGCCGCCGCTGGTCCGCCGGCGCGATGCCGACGCCGTCGTCGGCGACGGAGACGCGGACCATGGCCACGGGCACGGCGGGGTCGCGCGGCGCCTCGTCGTCGCTCAGCCCGACGCTCACGGCGACGCGCGGCCGGTCCACGTCCTCCGGCGTGAATTTCAGGGCGTTGGACACGAAGTTGGACACGCACGCGCCGAGGCGCCGCGCGTCGCCGTCGAACCACGCGTCGAGGAGCCGGTCGTCGACGCGCGTCACGAGCGCGACGCCCCGCTCGCGCGCCGACGGCGCGTGCGTCGCCACCGCCTGGTCCACGAGGTCCCGCACCGCGAAGGGCTTGCGGTGGAGCGTGAAGCGGCCCTCCTCGATGGACGCGAACGACAGCACGTCGTCGAGCGTCTCCGACATGCACGAGATCGACGCCTCGACGACCTCGACGACCTCCTGGATCTCGCCGTCGGCGTCCGTCGTCGGCGCCGCCGGCGACCGGAGGGCCGGTTCCAACAGCCCGCCCCCGAAGGCCGGCGGCGGTTCGTGGTGCGTCGCGTCGCTGTGGCCGTCGGCGAGCGCGTGGACGAGGCTCGGCCGGTCGCCCTCGGGCGACTGGCCCCGGCCGTAGCCCACGTAGTCGCTGATCGCGCGGACGCCGAGGCGCACGGCGTTCAGCGGCACGCGGACCTCGTGCATGACGTAGCGTAAAAACCGGCGCCGCTGCGTCGTCGCCTCGACCTCGAACTGCAGCAGGCGCCGCAGCGCGTGCTCCGGCGACAAGGCCCGCGAGTGCGCGGCACCCAAAGCGCCCGCGTACAGACACTTGGCGACGACGTCGACGACGTTGTAGAGCAGGCCCTCGTAGAGCGGGCTCACGAGCCGGAACAGGCCGGAGAAGTAGACCACGACGAACAAGGTCCAGGTCCCGGCGCAGACCACGGTCAGCAAAGCTGCGCGCGCCAATCGCAACCGTCGCCCCGCGGCCGCGACGTCGCGCGAGAACGACTTCGCCGGCCGGTCGCCCTTGCGGTCGTCGCGCTTCTCGTCGTACGCCGCCTTGGCCTTGGCCAGCACGTCCCCCAGCACGACGAAGATGTGGCAGTAGGCCGCCGTCGACAGCAGCAGGCACGCCAGCGCGACGGGCGCCGGCGGGTCCCAGAGGGAGCAGGCGCACCCTAACACCGTCGACGCCTCCTGGGCCACGATCGACCGCACGGCCGCCGCGTCGAGCACGGGCGCCTCCTCGTCGCCGTTGGGGTCGAAGTTCAGGGCGTGCATGAGCACCATCAACAGCGGCACGAGCGCGCACCACTCGGCCCAGCGCGCGCTGTGGAAGACGCGGCCGTCGAACATGACGTGGCGCGGCAATAGATCGAGCGCGATGGCCGCGTGGGACGCGCAGGAGACGACGTTGATGACGAAGATGCACGTGAAGGGCGCCACGCGCGCCCGCGCCGAGGGGGATCCGTCGCCGAGCACCGACTCGTCCTCGAACGCGACGGCGAGCAGATTGAGCAGCGCCGCGGTTCCGAAGCAGGACGCGGTCATCTGGCTGAACGTCCGCAGCGTCGCCTGGGCGTCCCAGCCGTCGGGCGCGGGCGTGACCGTCGCGAGGAAGAGGACCACGCAGCAGGCGTAGATGGCGAAGCACCCGAGGCACGCCCGCCTCAGGCAGCCGACGAAGCGCCGCGTGTTCGCCGCGCGCCGCGCGTCGACGGTCTCCATGTTGTCGTGGCTCTCGTTGCGCGTCAGCGTCGCTTCCGTGAGGTCCGCCTCGGCTGGCTGCTGGGCGCAGCGCACGGCCGTTGGGGGTGACGCGCCGGGGTAGGCACTCGCCGGCAGCGTGCGGCGGCTGCGGCGGCGCGGAGAGGGATTCGGTTGCATGTTGGTTTGAGTGTTGCTGATGGTTTCTGATGGTTTTGCTGAGTCGATGCGTTGTCGTGGACTGGGTTCAGCGCTCACGAACTGCGGGAGGTGCCAAGACTGAGGCTCGTATTGATGCTCCTACTCAATTGCTCCTACTAGTACTAGTACGCTACTTCGAGCGCCCAAGTCATGCGAGGAGCTCGCCGGGGGCGAGAAAAAAAAAAGAAAAAGAAAAGAAAAAGAAAAGAAAGGCAAGAACACGCGCTTGAATTTTTTGGTGAGAATCTACTGAACATATTATTTGAGGAAGCCCAACCATGGCCGACGACGCAGCCGCACGCCGCGCAGCCTCGGCAGGTGCACCGGAGGCGCAAAAAACCTTCGCGAAGGCCTGCGCGAACTCGCTCGAGTGGCACTACAAAGCGGCGCAGCGCCGCGGCGCGCCGCCGTCGCGGCCGACGATCCTGGAGAGCGACAGCAAGCGCCCGGGTTGGTACGAGCCGCCGGACGCGACGGCCGCGCCGCCGCGCGTCGAGCGGCGCGCCGAGGCGACGGACATGCAGAATCAAATCGACGCCGTCGAGTTCGGGCTGAAGCAGCTCCGCGCGTCGGCCGACGAGCCGCCGGACGCGAGCC